CGTCTCTTCCACGTCTCTCTCTCCCCGTCTCTGTCCATCCGTCTCTCTCACTGTCCCTGTCTCAGTCTGAGTGTCTCTTTGTCTCTCTCCGTCTGTCTCTGCTTCTTTCTATCCTTCTCATTAGCATTTAGTTGCATAATCAGCACGTCTCTCAGCAGGTGTGGTAATATTAAAAAGCGCCGGACAAGCAAAAATGTAATAGAACGTTCAAGAGGATCTCGTCTTGCGAATTATGGTGTGTGAAATGTTTCTTTGAGGCCTTTCGCCCCAAAATTTTAGTTTTTAGTGCCCTAGAACGCTTTGTTTACGAATTATTTACAGATATAGATTTTAAAAAACCGAAAATTATGTTTTTATGTATATATCCACTCCACACCCTTTCACTGTGCAAGTAGTCTCGAAAGTGTAGTGTACGTTTTTATCGTTGGAGGTGGCGGTAACCTTAAGCAAGGCCATAAACGTATTGATTCAAGTCACTCAGAATTTTGTTTACTTTGCAGCACCCAGTTGTTTTATCGGTCATGTCCTGTTTGCGGTACGCTTCGGACAAAGTACATGTAGCAGTAGGGTGTCGCAAAGTAACAGTTCATAAACCAAAAACTATAATGGAAAATCTATTAATGGATGATGACAAGAACAGGAACTTCAAAATATGTTCAGACGTAATACTATAAGACTCTGAAAATGTGACAAAATACAAATCCTGTTCACACAAAAATACATGATACATAAACAAGCATATACATAAAAATTGAACGGAGGAATGCCGGGAAATGAAAAACAAATGTGACGGGTTAAATAAGATAGAGAATATTTGAACCATTTCAAATTAGAATAAAATGAGTATTTAAACAAGAAAAAATAACTTTAAAGTGTTAATTCTTTACATAATGGTTTCGAAATCTAACGTCAAAGTATTACCTTTTCTCAATATCAAAACTCACCTTTGCCTCTCATAAACGTATTTTCGTTATTGCCTTCCTTCTTCCTCTATTCCTGCCTTTCATTCCTCGCCTAATTCAAATTCATCCTATTTATTCATATTTATCATAACCTGATGAAAATCGTAATTAAGAATTGATACGCTGTGACAATCCAAAATCTATTGGTGTCCTGTTTGTATTTTCGATGTTATAGACCCACAGATGATACAAAAGTGTTTCCCGAAAGTAAACTATGAAATGTTTTAATAAATATTAAAATTGTTATTGTTGTGATTATTTCCTAACTCACAGTAAAGAGTACCACTGGGTAAGATATCTTCTAAGTAAATTATTAGTCTGTTCAATTTTGTCAGTCATGTATATTGAAGCTGTAGAAAGACTAATTTTGATGTCTCGCCTATTTGGATCCCAGTGAACGGTTTTAAACAAGTGAGTTAGCAATAATAAGAGAAAAATTAGGTCACTATATATTGAACATATAACAGCTTTTCTTTACTAATAAGCTAAGAAATTTGTTTGAAATATGGAAACGGGGAGATAGTGTCATGCAAACTTGACAAATTTGCCGGGAACGGAAGACAGGGTAGGTTTGCCCAGAGAACATTTTGTGTGATCATCAAAACGATTGTTTGTGACTATCATTTGTAAGTATTCAATGTACTTTCTTGCATACCATTCTTGTGATATCTACAAAAAACAACAAAGCGGTGAGGGATGACTGATTACTATTTGAAAATTGTTTTTGTTACATTTTGTTACATACATTACAGTAAGGTTGGTAGCAGGATTTGCTGTTATAGGCCAAAACAATATCCATGTGTAAATACCTTGGTAAGTATGAACCAGCTACTAAAAGACGTCTTTACTCCTCGCTAGTTAAGAGTGTTACAACATACGGTTCAGAAGTCTGGGAG